GCCGTTACTGTGGAGACCCTGGAGTCCTTGGAGGCCCTGGAGCTCACGGCGGCGGCGGCGAGGGGGCCGCCAGATTCGCTCCGGAAGACGAAGCTGTGCAAGTTTCACCTCCGCAGCAGGCGCGCCCTGCTCGGCGGGGGGCCCCGAGCCCGGGGAATGACGAAGAAGCAACACGCACATGTGCCCAGAGGGGGGACGGAACGGGCTATGGGTGCGTCTTGTCGGAGTGGGGTGCCCGCTCGAACGGGAGCCTCCCCCGAGAACCGACAACCCGAATCCATACCTGTAGCCAGTCCTTCTCCCTCCGACCCCTCTATGGGTATGGGTGTGTGTGTTGTTATTTTGGGAGCCAGCTGGATCTCCAGAGGCTCCTGCAACTGCTGCCCGCAGTCAAGGTTAGGTATTTTGTGCAAGAGTGCCCCTGTATTCTGGCCCTTCCGCCCGCCAGCATCAGCGAACTTCCTGGGCCATCCACTACAGGTTGCAGCTTGGACGCCCAATGGTCTGGCGGTCTTACCTTGCCCGCCTCTGATGTGCGACACAGTTGCGCCAGGACGCGAAGATATACGAGCTTCGCGCTTCGTGCTCCGCGGTCTGGGCCTGAGAGTGCTTCCGGCCGCCGCCGAAGAACGGAGGGCCCGTCCAGAACGCGGTCCAGCCCTGCAGGGCCCACCAGACGCGGGCGCCCTTCGCCAAGGAAGCGAACTTCCGCCTCCCCCTGAACCCCCCCCCCTCCTCCTCTCACTCTTCCCCGTCGCCTTCCCTCCTCCGCCCCCCAGCCTCCCCCTCCCCCTCCCCCAGCCTGCCCTCCGCCCTTTCTGCCCCCTCGCCCCCCCCCCCCCGCCCCCGTCTCCCCTTCTGCGCGCCGCCAGCGATTTCCGACAGGTGCAGCAGGGGTGAACTCTGCAGTTACGCCCACAGCGTCCACGAGCTCAGCCCCCTGCCAGACCTTTACAAGACCCGCCTTTGCTACAGCTACGTGCGCCTGGGGTCCTGCGAGGATGCGAAGTGCAGGCACGCGCACGGTGTCGCGGAGCCCACTCTGTCCTTCTCTTCCTCCTCCTCCTCCTCCTTCTCCCCCTCCTCCTCCTCCTCCTCCTCCTCCTCCTCCTCCTCCTCCTCCTCCTCCTCCTCCTCCTCCTCTCCCTCCCTCCTCCTGCCCCTCCTGCTTCCTCCAATCCAACCCCTGGAATCTCGAATAACCGCGTATTGTTACCATCTTAGCGTCCAGAGTCTGCCATTCAGGATGGAGTCGAGAGGTCCGGGGGCCAGGGAGCCCAACAAAACACAGTTGTCAGGGGTCTGGGCTGGGTCTTCTGCTTCTGCTTCTGCTGCTGTTGCTGCTTTTCTCGTCTGCCGCGAAGAGACGGACCACGGCCAGGCGGTGGCGTTCTTGGAAGGGCACCAGGATCATCAGAGGGGGTCCTGCCCCTGAAAGCATGCGCCTCGTGCCTCCCAGGAAGCGGGGGGCCCTCTCAGAGGGCCGTCTCCCCGTTTGTTCGTGACTTGGGCCCCCAGGGTTCCCCAGACTCAGATGGGCGACGCAGAAAACGAGTTCTATTGCGTCGACATTCGCGCGCAAGCTTTCCGGGTGAGGTCGCGCGTAAGCGCCCTCGCTTCAAATGTGGCGTACTGGGCTGGCGGCCCGCGTAAACCACCGCGTAAGGTCGCTGTGCCATCTCGTGTAAGACCCGCTTTTATTGTCGCTCAGATGGCCCAAGACGTAAAATTGGTTGCGCTTGGAATACAAGCGTGTTTTTGTCCCCTCGCGCGCTGCCAGTTCTTTGCGGCGGCGCGCCAGAGGTGGTGGCGCGAGTTGGGCGGTCTTCGAAGGCTGCAGGGGGCTTCTGAGAAGCCCTCTGTCCTACAGAGGAGGAGGAGGAGGAGGAGGAGGAGGAGGAGGAGGAGGAGGAGGAGGAGGAGGAGGAGGAGGAAGAGGAGGGGGAGGAGGAGGAGGAGGAGGAGGAGGAGGAGGAGGAGGAGGAGGAGGAGGATACTTCTTCGAAGCTCCCTCCCCCCGCCCAAACCCCGCTTGCGCACCGCCAGTCCTCTTTCCTCGCAGGAGCTGCGTCCTGGCGGCCCGGTGAGCATGGGCTGATCGGTGAAGGTCAGGGCTGGGCCGACGGGGCAGGGGCCGAGCGCGAGCACGATCAAGACGCCGAGGAGGAGCGACAGGACCTGCTTCTCAGATCCCCCTGCCCCTCCCCTGAGATCCTGGCGTTGCACTCCTGTCGCAACGGGCGTTCTCCCTCGATTTCGGGCCCCGGGACCCTCGCAGATCGGTCCGGCTCGAAAGAGTGACGCAGAAAGATGGGGTCTCGGGGTCCACGCGTGATTTTTGTTACGATGCTGAGTTTTTTGTTGCAATGTCGGATCTCAGGGTCCTCAGGAGGACCGCGAAGGGTCATCTTTTCTGGATCGCTCATGCTCACACGCCCGTCCCCACTCCAAGCGGCTCCTGATGTCGGCCCCTCCCCTCAGGGGCAACGATATGGGGGGATGGCTCAGGGGAGAATGCATCGTCTCCTGATCGCCCATTGATCGCTGATAGGAGTCTGACAGCCCCAGCCCTCCCAGGAACGTGGGGCTTCGTCATCGGGGACCCAAGGCCGATCCATCGGGGATGTATCGCCGCTTCCGGGTCGATGTTTCCCTCCTTGTGCCAGCCCCCCCCCTCCCCTGAGATCCGACGTTGCAAAAGAATTGCAGCATCGCAGAAAAATCACGCCTGGACACCCAGACCCCATCTTTCTGCGTCACTCTTTCGAGCCGGATCGATCTGTGAGGGTCCCGGGGCCCGAAATCGAGGGAAAGCGCCCGTTGTGAAAAAACTGCAACGCCAGGATCTCAGGGACTATTGTTGCCCCTCACCCCCGTCGGCCCAACCGCGGCCTCCTTCGGTCGGCCGCATAAGCGAGTTGACCGCGCAGATTGCCGTGCTCGCGGTGCCCCGCGCGCTGGAGCCCGCCGCCGCCGCCGAGCTCCCGTTTCTCGGCGCCGGCGCCGCGGGGTCGCGAGGACCGGCTGGCGCTCGGGCCCTCCCGGGGGCGGCCCCGCCGCCTGCCGGTGGTCACGCGCGCGCCTTTCCGGCTCCGTTCGGCATCACCCCGACATGTTGACGCGGTAGAGGGAAACCATTGATGGACGCTCCCCCCTTGCCCCAGATTCAAAGTTGGCACGCGCGGAGGAGACTGCGGTCGAAGTGCAACTCATCAGACCCACCGCGAAGTTTGAATATTGGGGGGAGGGGAGGCGTTGACCGATGAATGTGACATGAGTGTTCGCTTTTTTTTTTTTTCTCAGAGGCCTGTAGGACATGTGCGTCGGCCACGCAAGGGCGACGCGCATGTTCGGAAATCTTATAGCATGAGCTCCGTGGCGAGCGCCTTTTGGCCATACCGCTCGGGAGACGATGCACTACAAGTTTTTGTTGGTAGATGTTCGGGTCGGACATGCGTCTCGAACAGAGGCACATTGTACTAGTATGCCCTCATGCGTCCAGATGGGCGGACCCCAAGAGGGGTCAGGGGACCGATTTTGAGCGGATTTGGCTTCATCCCCCCTCCTGGCTGATTTTCTTGATGCTGATCTTTTTCGGATTTCCTGAGTTTCCGAAGACGCATTCCTGATATTGTCGTCGCAATCTTGGGGGTCAGGTTCAATTCGAGCCTGGTTACGGTAGGTTCGTGTCGTGTCGACGCGGCGGGGATCCCGCCGCGGGCGTTCAAGGTAGAACGCCGCCGGTGGCCCAGGATCGGAAAATGTGGAGCGATCTATCGATCGAGAAACCGCCGATCCATGCGGTGTCAATGACCACGCCAGGGTCGTCGCGACACGGACCTGCCGTACCTGCCCATTCTTAGCTGCGCGCACAAGGGGGCTTGGGGGGCGGGGGAAGCCTTTTTAGAAGGAGGCTGCTTCTCAGAAGGCGCAGGCCTCACCTCCACCGGAAAGACCCGCGCCTTCTAAAAAACAGGGGCGCTTCTAAGAAGCCTTCCCCCCTCCGCCTACTCCCTTCTGCGCGCGGCCGACAACGGCGCGGCGACAGATGCGGACTCTAGGATTCTGGGTCGACCTCACGCGCGCCACTGGGATTCCAGGTTGGCCTCGCGCGCACCCGCGCAGGGGCACGAGGTTTGCGGAAACAAGAACACCGCGTCCGCCTCTCCCTTCTCTTCTGCGCGTGGCCGACGTCTCCTCCCCCCCCCAGGGGGCCCGCAGGACGCGGCCTGGAGGCCTCCCTCGCGGCCGCCGCCGCGCGGGGCCGCCTGCTGGAGGCGGTCGCGGGGGCCCCTGACCTGGCGCCCCCGCCCGGGGCTGCCGGTCCAGGCGCGGCAGCAGCGCGGGGACCTGGGCTGCCCGAGGAGCCCCCTCCTCCTCGTCCTCCTCGTCCTCCTCGTCCTCCTCCTCCTCCTCCTCCTCCTCCTCCTCCTCCCTCCTCCTCCCTCCCTCCCTCCCTCCCTCCCTCCCTCCCTCCCTCTCTCCGCCTCCTCCTCCTCCTCCTCCTCCTCCTCCTCCTCCTCCTCCTCCTCCTCCTCCTCCTCCTCCTCCTCCCTCCTCCTCCCCCCTCCTCCTCCTCCTCCTCCTCCTCCTCCTCCTCCCTCCCTCCCTCCCTCCCTCCCTCCCTCCCTCCCTCCCTCCCTCCCCCCTCCCTCCCTCCCTCCCTCCCTCCCCCCCCCCTCCTCCCCTCCCTTCCTCCCTCCCTCCCTTTCGTCCTCCTCCGCCTCCTCCTCCTCCTCCTCCTCCTCCTCCTCCTCCTCCTCCGCCTCCTCCTCCTCCTCCTCCTTCTCCTCGTCGTCGTCGCCCTCCTCCTCCTCCTCCTTCTCCTCCTCCTCCTCCTCCTCCTCTTCCCCTGCAGGGAGGGGGGGGGGCGGGAGGCTTCCGCCGCCCCCTGTCCAGGTCGCCACCCCCCCACCTGCGGCCATCCAGGTGGCGCTGCGGCCCAGCTGGCGCCGTAGCGAAAGCCACGGACAGTTGTCCATCTATGGGCTTCCCGCAAT